CAGCCCTGTGGACCGTTAACATGCAAAGTTTCTATATATACCAGCCGTCCCTACGTGGGCCTTTATGGCAGAGGGGCGTACGACGGGGCACGCGATCGTGACTCTGACCGTGTAGTCGCGAGTCTGACTCCGTTCACGTTGGCTATACAAAGACCTCGATCGATCGCAGCATGCGGTTCTCGGTCCTGTTTCTCGGGCTGGGTCACAGATATCAGGCTCGAGCGCAAGAACATGCATGCGTGCACGCCTCGTGCTGCACTGAGACTCCGGCCAGGGTGTTGTTGGTCCTAAAGGGTTGGAAATGCAGGCACATCAGCACAGACTCTGGCTCTGAGCTTTGATGCGCGCGCGCGCGCAAGTGGTATGCAGCACCCTGGTTTCAGGACCCCCGCGGGCCAGGCGCCTTCTTAGCTCCTCGCGCGCCTTGCTCCCGTCGCTGGGAGGCTTCGCATCATGCAACGTGCAGCACTTTTGTATTGACTCGAAGATGCTGTGTCAAGGCGGGCATCATTGCTGAAAGTCTGTGTGACTGCATGAAGTTTCAGAGAGAACGTCGGGCGCGCGGCGCATTACCTTTGCCTGCCGCGGAGCTCCTTCCCTCCGCGGGCGAGTCTGCGCGGATTTTGAGAGTTCCTGTGCTCGTTGTCCCTCGTGCTTTTCGTGTGTCCCTCAATTTGGCGGCGGTGGCATGAGCGTGCCGCGTGATGGAGTGAGTGAACAGCAGCACCCCATCGGGCTATACCGTCCTGCTTTGATTCCTGCGACAGCACGCACACGGATGAGTCTCATCTCAACCCTACCACCCTTTCCCGGAGGCCTTCTGTTCATCATTTTCCGCAAATTGGCCCGACTCGCCCTCACAGTTGAGTCATCGCTTTGGATCCGGTCATCCAACGACTCATTCGTCTCAAAGGTCAGCCAGCCAGCCAGCCAGCCAGCCAGCCAGTCACATTCAGAATTGCTCTTCCAGAAAGTGCTCTCTTGTCTCAATTTGCACGCCCAACACATCTGAACCTATAGCAAACACAGCACAGCGCTTTTGCCCTCGCGCGTATCCCACCAGCTCCTTGTTTCGGGCCGGGCAGACAAAATCACTACAGCCACCGCCTTGCTTTGATTGCCCTGATCACTCGTCTGTTTTGCATGCACCCCCCC